GATTGGCTAGCAACAACAAAAATTATATGGAAAAATGATTAATAAATCAATTCTCTGTCCAGAAAATATTTTGTCATGTTCCCAGTCTCAGATCATCCTTTATCTCTGCATTTTAATCTTCATATTGACAATAGAAGGTACTCATTGCCTATCTCCTCTCATTTAAGAGCCTTTTCAGGGAAGGGAATAGTTTTTATTTTTCTGTCCAGGTTAGAACAAGTATTTGGCACATAGTATTTAATATTTGCTTATGAATGGAAGTAACTGTTAATGCACTTTTGATCAACAAATCTTCCACTCACATATGCAGTTCTATAATTCTAACATAAAAGCTCTTATTTTATGAAGTTCTTAAGAATATAAAATAAATCTGTTATTTATTTAATACACAAGTTCCTCTTCAAGTTAACAACTATAGTAATAGAAAACTAAATCTGAAAATAACATTTCTTGCTAAATGTTTAAATAATGAGAAAAATTTGCATAAACTATAAACTGTTTTTCAGTAATTATTTTAGAACATGCTACTAGAAGGGTTAATCTGGGAGAGAGCAAGGGACACTGTCCCAAAAGAAATGTACTTTTTACCTGACTTATGTACATCACTTTTACAATAATAAAGAATAAGAACAAAAAAAGTAAAATTAAGAGATTAAGAGATGACATATCAACGCCTACTTATCCAATAACATTTATGTGAGCAAGTAATCTGATAAAGCCCTCTTCAGTATTTCCATTTTCAAGGTCAACTCATGCATTATAGGGAAGCATTACTAACAGAATGTATAGCTACAATTATGACAGTGGATGCTTTTCTATACTGGTGAGAGGTTTATGCACAGTCGCCACCCCCCACCCCAGAAAGAGAACAATATACAATTAACAAATGACATTAAAAACAAACTAGCACACAAAATACAAACAAAATAGGACTTACAAGATATAACCTATTCTATATCTCATGTTCTTCACAATTTGTTAATAAAAATATCCATTTTAAAGTGCTATCATTTTCTTTTCTGTGGTAGAGAGAGAGAGAGAGAGAGAGAGAGAGTGTGTGTGTGTGTGTGTAGTGGTGGTGGAGCCTGCAAAAAGGAAAGATACTTTTCTATAGAAGGGTCTAACAACCCAAAGAAGCTCTCTACAGGCACTATCAGACTAGGGCACAAAAGCTATTGAAATTAAATCCAAAGGAGGTGATGTTAGCATCTTGTTACTATGAGAAATCCAATTTTCTCCCATTTAACTAAACTCTAGATTTAAAAGTTCATTAAGAAATAAATGGTTCTACATATTTGAAAATGGACTTAAATGTTAGAAATTGTCCATCTCAACTTGTAGCTGTGCATTCAAGCCTCAAGCACAAAAAAAAGAAAAAAAGGACATACTATATGTAAAGGTTTGTACTTAATCAGGACATATCCTGGTATATTCTACATTGTATCTAAATACCTCTAAAATTTCTACCCTTCCTCCTCAAAGTTATTTCTCTACCCCTTTACCAATATCTTCACTGAATCTTCTGACGACATAAAGGGAAACTAAATTCCAATTAGCCGCTCATCCCTTTTAACACTTCTGTTACAGATTTTTCTTTGCTGTAATGGTAGCTAATTTAACTTTTCAGAGGGAGTCAGCATTCATGGTAGTCTAATAGCTCCAGGAGGTTGGCAGAGAATCAGGAGCTGGCACCATATCAAAAAGCAAAAGAGAGGTGTAGTGCACAGCAGTCGTTAGTTGGTACTCACAAATAGTGAAAATCCAATAAGAGAATTAGGCTCTAAAATCTTATTCGTGTCAGGCTCCATGGTAGAGAAAGTATGCCAACCAAATTACACATTGCTCTAAGGAATGAAATTAGAAGCAACACTTTTTTGTGTGTGTGCTGATACTGGGGCTTAATCTAAAGATTATCCCTTAGCTTTTTTGCTCAAGGTTTGCATTCTACCATATGAGCCACAGCTCCACTTCTGGTTCTGTGGTGATTAAATGGAGCTAACAATCTCCTAGACTCTTTTGCCTGGGCTGGGTTCAAATTCATGATCCTGAGATCTCAGCCTCCTGAGTAGCTAAAATTATAGGCATGAGTCACCAGTGCTCAGAAGAAGCTATGCTTTTTAATCTGCTGAGAACATAGGAGAATGCATGTCTTTCATCAAACAACTCTGTGCCCTATTTTTGAGGAAGAGTGCCTTACGATTTATACTGACCTGCTCTTTCTATCACAACACTGCTAAACTACTAACTGAAAGCAAAAACTATACAAACTTAGGCATATAACAAGTTTCAGCTCTGTCTTATGTGCCAAATGCAGCCTGGTTTAAGACCTGGAATACCTTATTTTTTAAGTTTTTTTGATGTTTTCTTGGTAGTTTGTACAATCTGACTAAGATGGTTTTCATGGGTCAGCAAACTGTAAAGAAAGTTTTTCATGAGTCTAACAGTCATATCTATTCTTTATCAGTATAATGGGAACATAAACACTCATTTCAAATGGTTATAAGGACTAAATGAAAGACAGCTTTTTAAGAATGTAGTATACTACTTGACATTCAAGTGTTCAATGACTGGTAGATATTATCACAAAGCAATATTTTGCAACTAATTATCTGACCAAAGTTCTGAGATGAATTAACACTCAGTTGGCATATATCCAATAAGCATTGCTTATAACAACACATCCCTTTAGAACTATCTTATTCAGCAGCGAACAGATATATAAGTGAACTCGAACCTCCTACTACCTTCTTCAGAGAGTTCAGAGCTCCATTCCTAATTTTTGTTTTTCCTTTTTATTGAGACAGGGTCTTGCTTCTATAGCCCAGTCTGTTATATAAATACATTTCAGCCAAGTTAAGAAAATATAAATACTATGTTCTGTACAGTTGTACGAGAATATAATAGTTCAGTTCAAATAGATTTTTCTTATGGAACTCTGATGATTATAAAAGGAAAAATTTATGTAGCTATTTGATACAGTATTTTCAATACCAAAATAGTCTTTAAAACTTTTGAATTGAATAATTTTACCCATTTAAACAAGTTGTTCTAGATTTGATTGCTTGAAATTAAGGACCATGACCAATAAATAAGAAAACAATTTCAAAGTCAATATTTATCTAATACATCTATTCATCTAATAGAAATAAAAATGTCAATCAAATGCATTATATTCATAAACTGACTTACAGAACTAAAGCCCCTTTGTACAATTACTTTAAAAATAAGTATATGAGCTGGGTACAGGTGGCTCACACCTGTAATTCTAGCTATTCAGGAGGCTGAGATCTGAGCATTGTGGTTCATAGCCAAACTAGGCAATGTCCACGAGACTCTTTATTTCCAACTAACCACCAGAAAACCGGAAGTGGCATTGTGGCCTAAGTGGCAGAGTGCTCGCCTTGAGCTGAAGAACTCAGGGACATTGCCCTGGCCCAGAATTCAAGACCCACAACCGACAAAAATAAATAAATTAATTAATTAAATTAAAATAAATAAGCAAAACACAAATATAGTTTTTGACATTTCTACTCATTTTACATTTGTTCCAAATTATGTCAAGTTCACTGAAAACAGATTTGAAACACTACTCAAAAATACTGGTGATATGACAAAGACATTCTATGATTTTCTTTATAGATAGATCAATTTTTATTAACCAAGGTAGGTTTTCTTTAAATTCTTAAGAATTATTAATATTAAAACACAGTAAAAGCTAGGTAAGATGCACATCTACATTTATAATCCTAGCCCCTGACAGTCTAACCCAGGAAGGTAAGGAGTTCGAGTCCAAGCCAGGAGACTGAGATGCAATGTCAAACCATCAAACAGGATTCAAATGCCAGTGGCTCACACCTGTAATCATAACTACATGAAACTGAGGATGGAAGGATCATGTTTTAAGGACAGCCTAGGAAGAAATGTTTATGAGCTCCCTTCTCAATCCATAGCTGGGCACAGTGGCATGTCCTGACATCCTGGATTCATGGAAGGTTGTGATTGGAAGGACTGTGGTTCCAGAACAACCCAGAAGAGTAAAGTTCCAAGACTCTCTCTGAATACAAAGAGTTGGGTATGATGGTGCATGCCTGGGCAGCAAGTGAGACTCTATCTCCAACCACTGCCCCCTCCCCACCAAAAAAGGAAAAAAAACCCACAAATAATGGTCTGGAGGTGTGGCTCAATGGTGGACAACCAGCCTAGTAAGTGTGAGGTGCTGAATTCAAAAGCCCAGTTCTGCCAAAAAATCCAGAAAAGCACCCCCCCTCTATTAGGTCTAATTCTTCTAAAGCCTATACTTTTCTTAGTATCCAAGTGCTTTCTAAAAGAAACATAAATCAATGTCAACTCCTTATTTTTCATAAATAAATATAAAGCATTCAACCATATATATATTATATATATATAAATAAAATAAGTGTTAAGAATTACTAGGAGTAGGATATAAATTTTTATCTTTGAAGAGAAAGTTGAATGCTATTGATTAATTCTAAGATTGATAATTATTTTATAAAAAAAAAATTATGCAGACATAATTTCCTACTGTTTTGTCTACTAAACTAACCTAACTTTCTTGAAGTCTACTCACCTATTAAATCAGATCTGTTCAGTGGCCTAGCTAAAGCAAAAATAGTCTGTCAAAAGCAATAGTTGTTTTCATTTATCAAAAGCCTGATAATTAATTCATTAGCCTGACAGTCAGTTACACTGATGGTAAATTCATGAAAGTAGGTTGAGTTCAAGTGGCTCTTGCTTGTAATTCTAGCTACTCAGGAAGCAGACATTATAGTTTAGAAGCCAGCCCTAGCAGGAAAGTCCGTGAAACCCTTAGCTCCAATTAAGTACCCCAAAAGCCAGAAATGGAGCTGTGACTCAAGTAGTAGAATGCTAGCCTTGAACAAAAAGCTCAGGGACAGAGTCCAAGCTCCAAGTTCAAGCCCCAGGACTAGCACAACAAAACAAACCAGAAAAATTCATGAAAGCAGAAATGAATAGCTTACAGTGCATATGGATGACTTTGTGATCTTCACGGTAAAATCTGAAGAAAATTCCAAATCTGAGATAGATGTGGTAAGACAATCTATATGCTATACATTATAAAGAAAAGAAAGGAAGAAGTTAGTTAAAAAATACTAAAAAAAAAAAATCAATTTTATACATACACACACCCGCCCATACACAGGATTGCTGTGACCCATTGTTTTGCAAATTTGGATGACTTATAGTCCATTTTGGAACTTTTTCCAAATATAAGTATTACTAACATTATTATTCAATTTTTCTTTAAATCAAATTAGTATCTTTTATTTGCTTTCTTATAAACAATAGTATATTAAGTTATGGCTCTGATCTGCTAATTCTTCTAACACAAATAAGTACTTTTTTTGTGTGTGTGTGAGAATACCATACAGAGGAGTTACAATTACATAGGCAAGATGATACTTTCAAATAAAAATATTTTTCAGTCATACCTTTCCTGTAAGTTATGTGTGATCACCATCAATATTTAATAGAGAATAGCAACTCTAAACCACAACCACACGCTAATAAAAGGAAAAATGTTTCACTAATTCATTTAGGCAAGTTTATTAGACAAAGAACAATAATGGAAACTGAATAGTAAAACTATAAAGATTCAACTCAGGGGAAAAAGAATAGCCAATTATCTTTGTTTTTGCACTCTGCTCTGGTCCAAATTCATGTTGGACATCACTTTTTAAGCTATAGTAGCCTAAACAGGCTAAGGGTTGCCACTGTTGGGTTGCCATGAATAGAACAAATAATAATCCAGTAAACAGAATTCAAATAATCACATACCTGAGGCATGAATAAACAGTTTCAAAATAAAATAAAAACAAAGTTAAATGTGGTTATTGTTTATTTGTGGGGCAGGAACACAGAACAAATGATATTTAAATGTTAGATTTTATTTTAAAAGGTATACTTATACCTTTGTTCTTCAGTCCTAAACTTTTCATTTTAATTATTTGTTCACAGCAGTTCTGGAGATTAAACAAAAAGATGAGAGAGAGAGAGAGAGAGAGAAAAGCACTCTCCTCTTTCTGCTCTGCCTTAAAGCTAGGTTAGCTGAAATTGCACATGCTTGCTCTGAGCCAAACAGCTCACATAAATCCCTTAGTCAGTGTACCAGAACAATGAACAACCTAACAGTCACAGTACTGGATGTTGTTTTTTTTCCCCTGTAAAAGCTGAATGCAACTTAATTAGGTTTGTTCCTGTTGAGAAACACTGTGCTTATTATTCTGTGCTTATTTTAATACTTTTTTAAAAAGAACTTTAATAAACATGCTTAATCTAAATATGTTTACTTAATATCTACTTAGCACAGAAAGTAATACGATTTCTCAGTAAAGAGAATTAGGAATGTGAATGAGAGAAGTTAAATTGTGTGAGACACATGATAGGAATGAATAATCTGCTGGGGGAAAGGGGAGCCAGAATAAAGCCAGGAGGGGTCGGTGAGGCAGCTATGACAATACTGCCACACATTTTGCCTTTATTAAGCCACAGTGAATAAGAACGAATCAAGCAGTTCAAGAGTCAGATTAAAATTGAGTAAAAAGAATTTAAATTTGTGCAGGGAAAAAAACTTCAAAGGGATGGCAAAATCAAGTGTAAATACTATGACCTAGAGTTGCTTTGGACAAAAGCTAGAAGACAGCTACATTTAAAATCAACACATAGGGCTGGGAAGGTGGCTCAGTGGTAGAGCGCTTGCCTTACATGCATGAGGCCTTGGGTTCAATTCCTCAGCACCACATAAGCAGAAAAAGCCAGAAGTGGCACTATGGCTCAAGTGGTAGAGCACTAGCCTTGAGCTGAAGAGGTGAGGGACAGCGCCCAGGCCCAGAGTTCAGGCCCCATGATCGGCCAAAAAAAAAAACCCAAAAGAAACCAAAAAAATCAACACATAGATGGTCCTGTATATCACCACACCCTTGGATTCAACCAACTGTGAACTGAGAGTATTTTTTTTATATTGCAGCTTTACTGAGTATTTACAGAACTTTCTTTTGGCTGTTCACTGAACAATATAACATAACTCTTTACATAGAAATATATTTTACTAAGTAAAAGCAATAAAAACTTTTGAAGTATATGGGAGGATGTGCATAGGTCACATGTAAACACTACATTATTTTGCTTAAGGACTTTTATGCATCCTTGGATTTGGTTATTTGTAAGGAGTCCTGGAACACAATCACCCAGATAACAGAGGAATAGCTGTACCAATTTCAATAACAACTAAGAAAAAGGGCAACACGGTTATAAAAACAAAAATCGGTGAAACACCTACCTTAATACTACAAGGGTCTGAAATAAGAGTCTTTGGATCCAACACTTCCACAATAGCTTCTGGAATAACTGCTTTCTTCATGCAGGACATGTTGAAGCCATAGACATTATCCCAGAAAGCGATTCTTTCAGCATGTTTATTCACATCACTCACTGCCACCAGGTTTATGGTGCAAAGGTCAGGGTAGACTGCAACCAATAAAATGCCCAACAACACAGTTACGTTCCTTTCACAAGAGGATGTAGTTTTTAAAAAGCTAAACATAAATACCAAATTCCTCAGTGTGATTACTAGCAAGGAAGATGAATGAAGACAGAGGGTCAGGGAAAACAACCAAGTTCCCTCTTGTTGGCATACTTACTATCAAAATTAAAATGAAGATGCCACCAATGAGCCTCTGTTAAAATTATTAAAATAAACGATACAGATGTTTATCAATATGAAAACTTAAAATGTACCATCTTAAAAAAGGTACTCTTGGCCAAGTGCAACTACCTACTCAGAAGGCTGAGATTGGAAGATTGTGGCTCAAAGCCAGCCTGGGCAGTAAAGCCCATGAGACTTTTTTTTTTAATTGTAAAGCTGCTGCACAGAGGGGTTGCAGTTACATGAGTAAGGCAATGAGGACATTACTTGTTGATCATTGTTACCCTTCCCTTGATGTTGTCCCACTATCCCTCCCCTCCCCCATTCCCCACCCTCACCACAAAGTTGTAAAGTCCATTTCCAATATACTGTCCTGTGGGTATCCTTGTTGCAATGGGTCATCCTGTGTCCTTGTTTCAGCGTTTTGTTATTCCCCTTCCCCTCCCCAAATTAGACAGATGTTTATATAAGTTGGTACCAAAATCAAGTACAGTGACAACATAGGATATGCCATAGGGGAAAGAACATATAAACGTCCATGAGACTTTTTATCTCCAATTAGACACCAGAAAGCTGGAAGTGGAGCTTTGGCTCAAGTGGCAGAGTGCTAGCCTTGAGCAAAAAGCTCAGACAACACTCAATCCCTGAGTTCAAGCCTCAGGAATAGAAAAAAAAAAAAGGTACTCTTTACCACATACCCTCTAAAATATGCAGAAAGGGTCAAACTAGTTAGGAAGACAGCATATAAAAAAAGTATGTAATGGAATTTCATAGTTATGCAGAAGTTCAGTTTATATTACCTTCTTTTAGTATATTAGGAAGTATTTACGAGCATTAAGTAGGTGTCAGGCATATGTGCCAATCTAAAAACTGTGCACATATCTTTACCATTAAGAAACTTAACTTAATGTGACAATTACTAACAAAGGGAAAGCATGAAGTACTTGGGAATTGATAGGAAAATCAACTAGTTCAGGCATGGCTGGAGCCCAGATAAGAACCTCAGGACAATTTAGGAGTGTGGAGGAAAAGAATACATTGTAAGTAGAGTAAACTATGCATAAAGGGTGACAATAAACTGCAATCTAATTAGAAAGGAGACGCATGTTTAGAAAGGTACCTCAGTAAACCACGGTTGTAAATTGGTCTTTAGTCAAATAATAAAAATCCAGTGAAAAATTTTACATAGGATATAGTAACATGATGAGATTTATTTTAGAAAAAAATGGAATGTAATATGAAGAATGAGAGAATATAAGACTAAAACAGAGACAAATTAAGGAATAGTAATAATTCATTTATCAGGGAAGTAGGGTGATGTCTATGGGACTAGAAAAGAGATACTTAGAAAGTAGAACCAGGACTTTGACAGATTGGCTGTGACAGTGAGGAAGAGGAAGATTCAAGGATGACTGAGTTTAATTTCAGTAATGGAATGGATTGTCTTATTAACCAAAGTGGGGAATAAATATGGGCAACTTAGGAGTCATATAAAAGTTTTCTGCTTATGTCATGAACAGATAAAAATATTCAATACAGAGCTAACATACATTTCTGAGATTATAAAAATAAAATAAAATTTTAAATAAAAATTTAGAGTCCTTGAGCATATCAATGGAAATAAAAGTTAGGAGCTCACAAATTCAAGGGGTAGAACAAAGTACACAGTAACTATGAAAGTTTAAGGGGGAGAAAAAGAAAAGGAAGCTGAAAAACTAGGAGCACAGAAAAAAGAGACCCAAGAGGGGGTCACTGGGTAAATTATATAAAAAAATGATTTAAGAAGAAACTCTACTGAGAACAAAGTCTTAATGATACAAAACTTGAAAAATATGCTGATTTTTCTTTTGACAAATAAATAAGAAAACTAACTTTAAATCTCAACTTGTAGGTGACTCATGAATTAAAATATAAACCACAGATTCCCTTATCAACAAAGAACAAATATAAATATATCAAAGAAATGGAGAAATGAAAAAAATTCCAAGATTGTTCATTAGCTTCAGACTTAAACAGTAGAGAAATTATCCTTTCCTAACCTCAAGCTTTATTTCCATCCAAAACACTGGAAATTTAATTACTCGGTGATAACAGCACTAAGTTTTCCTCCAAACAAAACTCAAAGTAAGGTATTTTGGCATCAAAACAACTGCTTCTCAGTCTGCTTTATGAGATACCCAGAAAAAAGAAATATGACTACTTCACTGGTAAGTTTCTCAATTCATTCCCACAGAGCATGTGAGGAATGTGTGCTAGCTGTCCAGGGCCAGAGTCCACTGCCTTGTACGTAAACTGTTACTTTCATTAACTCCTTCCATCATGAACAGGTATTGCTTCCTGAGTGGGTTTAAATTGATGACTAATACAAATTCTTTATAGTAACTGGTATGTTATTTGGAATGATGACCAGCAAGAGATCAGCTATAAGGAAAAGTGTTTAATTTTTGGAAGCAAATCTGTAAGTTAATGAACACTAAAGAGACAAAGAATTCTGAAGCACTAGCTATTTGGATAGCTTTTTTATTGGCTTTTGCCATGCTGTGACTTGAAATTTTATCTTTATTGAGAAGCAGAGAAAAGGAGCAGGCTGGGTCAACAAACGTTTTTTTTTGTAAACTCATTATTTTAGGTTTTGTGGGCTATACGATTGTTGTTGAAATTACTGTTTTCCTAGAAAGACAGCCAACAGATGGGGAGATCTTTACCAATAAGACATCAGATAAAGGCCAAACACCCAATATACACAAGGAGCTCAAGAAACTAACCACTCCTACACTAATAAAACTAATTGCTATATGTGCAAGGGAGCTAAGGAAAAACTTCTCAAGAGAAGAGGTAAGATGGGCAAGGAAATACATAAGGAAATGCTCATCATCCCTGGATATAAAGGAAATGCAAAGCAAAACAACTCTGAGATCACATCTCACCCCAGTTAGGTTGGCCAACATTGTGAATTCGAAAAACAAATGTTGGTGGAGAGGTGGGGAAAAAGGAACCCCATTGCACTGTTGGTGGGAATATAAACTAGTATAACCACTCTGGACAGCAGTCTAGAGGTTCCTCGAAAAAACAATCATTGATCTTTCTCACAACCCAGCCATACCATTCTTGGTCATCTACCCAGAATATCATGAGCCAGAATATCATAAAGATAGCTGCAGGGGCTGGAACTGTGACTTAGTGGTAGAGTTCCTGCCTGGCATGCATGAAGATCTGGGTTCCTCAGTACCACACAAAACAGAAAAAGCTAGATGTGGCGCTGTGGCTCAAGTGGTAGAGTGTTAGCCTTGAGCAAAAGAGGGACAGTGCCTAGGCCCTAGGTCAAGCCCCAGGATTGGCAAAAGAAAAAAAAGAAAACCGGCTTGCGGTATTATTCCTATAAAAGAGAGAGAGAGACAGAGAGAGAGAGAGGGACAGACAGACAGACAGACAGACAGAAAAGGTACAATGTAAATGTGCCCCTTCATATCTACATAAAATCATATATATTTATATACATATCAAAATGAACTTCAAGATATGGAAACAAGTGGTCTCATTTTTTTGTAAAATTATTTTGTTGATGATTCTGTCTTCTTTATGTATGGTTTGTTCACGTGTATATCTATGGAAGAGTGTGGCGGGGAGAGGGCATAGAACTCAAGGGAAAAGGGTGAAGAAGTGCAGCAGTGGAGCTCAATGGACACTGATGAAAGTGAACTGTACACTCACGGGTGGAAGTGTGAGGGAGGACTGGGAGAGAGCGAGAGAAGAGAAGACGCCGCACGGAAGGAAATGTACTCATTACCTGACTCATGCAATTACAATCTCTCTGTATAGCACCTCTATAAAAATAATGAAGCAAATTTGCAAAAATAAAGAAATATATCATTTCAAAGATTTGGGAAATTACTGTTTTCTGTTGTCAGTGTGAAAGCAGCCACAAACAGCATGTAAACAAATGAGCAGGGCTGTGATTTTTTTTTTTTTTTTTTTGGGTCCAGTCGTGGGCCTGAACTCTGGGCCTGGGTGCTGTCCCTCAGCTCTTCAGCTCAAGGCTAGCGCTCTACCACTTGAGCCCCAGCGCCACTTCCGGCTTTTTTCTTTCTGCTTATGTGGTGCTGAGGAATCGAACCCAGGGCCTCTGGCATGCAAGGCAAGCGCACTACCACTGAGCCACCTTCCCAGCCCCGTGGGCTGTGATCTTTTTAAGACTTATGTATAGATAAGTCTTACAAGGCATGAGGAGGGCATGATTAGGGCCATCATAATGTTGCTACTTCATGAAGTACACTCACCACTATAGTATATGGGAACCAAATATCCTATGAGTTATATAGTACTTAGCTAAGTTCATAAAGTTCTTCACTTTAGAATACTATTAAAATCACAAGTGAGATTTCTGATATCACCAATCTCTGTATCAGATTGAAAAAATAATGGCCCCTGAATCAAATCCAGTCTGCTGCTCGTTTTTGTAAAATAAGGTTTAATTAGAACACTACCATATCTATTTGTTTACATATTATCTTGGCTGTACTGTTATAGTGGTAGGATTGAATAGTTGGGGCAGAGACCATATGGCCTATGAACCCGAAAATACAGTTAGCTTTTCTAACTCTACTTCAAGATATATACCATGAAGAAAAATGGTAATTTTTCATAATACAAATTATACCTTATTGAAAGTAATAAAATGACTTTGAAACTAGTCTGATACTAGGAATAAAAAAAGAGGAATGTTTTACTTTTTCTAGTGTTAAGGTCTATTTTCCAACTTAGTCATATTTCACAAAGAGAAAAATTATAGTTTTAGTAATTTGAAACAAAATGATTTTTAAAA